TAAATACTTCGGAGAGAAGCACAACTGAAAGCAAGAGTCTTCCTTTGAATTCTTGGGTTTCTCATGCTTTTAGGATAGTTTGCAACTGTCCCCTTTAACAAATTAACTTTATCCTTAGAAGGCTTTCCTAACATCTACAACAGTGGCAATACAGTCTAATAAATATCCATGTTAGAACATATAAAGAATTTGGAATGCAAATAGCAAGGACTCAAGGTTTAAGAATGGGGTCAGCCAAGCTAAAGAAGTGAAAAAACCCCCAAGTACTCTGCTTTATGTAATTAGGCATCATAATATATCAGTTATACTGTAACCTAGTGAAACTGATTTTCATCAGGTTGAAAAAAAAAATTCAATAGCTGCATCATCACAATTATTTATGAGTGAACACAAATGGAAAGAAGTTATTTCATCTTTAATATTAACTGGGTAGAAGTCACACAATTTGGCTGTTAGATCAGTTTATTTTTTTAAGTTGAAAATAATATTAACTCAATGGCATTAAAAATTGCCTTATTTAAATCTTCAACTATTTTAAGGGAAATAGAGGCAATTCAATTACTTTTCCAACTTAGGTGTATTTACATATGAAAAAAAATATTCAATAGAATCTCTTCATCTTGAGACAGAGACCTCAGAACTCAAGGAAAAAATGCATTAAACTAATTTGCACCAATTACAAAAGCTAATTGATTTGGTACCTGTACATCCAATCAGGACTAAGTACCTTGTGGTGTGGGAAGGAATATACATGCCATTGCTTCTTATAACCACATGTTTCACCACCTGTATCCCCTGACTTCTTAAATTCCTTTATTCCCCAATTCACTTACTAAAATATGAATATTCTCAAGAATACTCAGACATTTACAGTCCTGTGGCAATTTTTAATACTGTTTTTTTAAAAATATTTACACTTTATAAAAAAAACTAGTGAGAGCAGGCCCACTACAGTCTATATTTTATCTTGCATCCCAATCCTGCCGTGTCACCAAGGCTTCGCTTCACCCAAATGAACAGTACCATTTCAAATCAAGCTTGTGATTATCAGTTTAGTATACTATTTCATTCCATTAACATATTTACTAAAAAAAAACTAGCTTAAGAAAAAAAAATGTACATTTATCCTATTGTAAAATACTTGGTCCAAAAAGTAAAAGCCGTTCAAAAATAGCAAAACAGAAAAAGTAATTGCTACTGCTCTGCCATTGTCATTCTATTGAATTTCACAGAAGGGGGGAGGGGGAGCTGCTATTTGCTACACTCAGATCTTTTACAATAAAAGTAATTGAAAAATAGTTAGTTGGGGTTTTTTTCCCCAAGCGAGCAGATTATTATTTAAAACATTTTTGGTGTTACTTTAATAAGAAAGCTATAAACTTATTCAAAATTAAATGTAAAAGTAATGTTAAAGCCTAACATTACTCTGGCCTCTTAAAAGCCACACATTTTTAATTTGACACTTGTGATTTACTGATTTTATATTTAAGGATAGCCTAAGGAACTTAAGAGTCTCATATTTGAGAGAGAGAAGCAAGTAGGAACTTAGGTTCACTGCTTTGACTACCTCTGAAAAAGTTTCACAAACTAAACTGAAATGAGTTTAATTCACTAACTACATAATCTTCTCAAATCTTTTCCTAAGTCTTCTCCTAAATCTGAAGTATACGCAATTTAAAAAAAATCTTATGTATCCAAAACATTTAAGGTTGACTTGTTTAATGAATAGTGTGTGTTGTTGTGTGCGTGTTTAATTCCTAGTTACCATGCCAATTCAACTGCCTAACAAACCACAAACAAAATTCATTACCTGGTAAACAGGCAATATAATTCATGCTTTTCTAACATATGAAAAAGGTAAACATAATGAGAATCTGACAGTGCTGTGCTTATAGTCATTTAAATAAACACATAGTGATTTTGTATGTATATGATCAAAGCATTTCCCAAATCCAATGCAAAAGCTCTGTTTAATTTTAAAATCATGATGATGGTTATATAATGGGAATGCATCTTCTTTTAGGAAGAAACTGAAGTACAAGTGGAAAAGTCAATTAAAATAGCTGATTCAAATCAACTGGTCGTAAATGACTTCGAAGCTAGTCAGCTTTAACACTCCCATAAAACTAGCACCTGATCTGTCTAGAAATCCCACAAGAATAATTTTTAGCTAGAGGAAACAAGGGGAAGATCTCTTTTTCAAGGAAAGAAAGAGAAACAAATACATAATAATAATAAAAAAGCTCACAGAAAACTAGTGCTCAAAGCAATAGATTTTAAAGAACTGGCAGACATGCTCCTTACTCAATTTTTTCAAACTGACAGCTGACTCATTAGGTCTGATAGCCATTTACCAATTACTTTACTTAGCCAGAAACAGTGCAGCATACAAAGCTGCTCCTGCCAGAACAATTAAGATTAAAAACCATGTTTTGTTGAAAACCATGTTTTGTTCACCTCCCCTGAGGAACCAGCAGCAACAAACCATGCAGTCAAGCCTGGTGCCTGTAGCCTAGGGACTCCCCCATTCCAGGAGAAGCCGTTACTGGGATACAACAAGGCACTTTTCAGGATTTTATTGCTTATATCCCCCGGCAGCCTCCCTCCCTGGCTACCAAGTTGCTGCCGCTGGCTCGTCAGAGAAGGTCACTCAAGGAGGCTCTGAAGTGTTCTTCAAGAGCAAGTCTTGAAAGGCCACCAGAGTCCCTGCAAAACAAAACAGAGGAGATGGCGGTGGGGTGTGGACGCTGGGTCTCCCCCCCCCCCCCCCCCCCCCCCCCAGCCGCGTCCTCACCCTCATGCCGGCCGGGCAGTGCGGACACACACACCCCGGCCCGCGGCGGCGCGGGAACCGGCCTCCAAACAGGGACGGACCCGCGGCGGCGGCAGGACCTATGGGCTCCGAGGCCCCGGCTCCAGGGTAAGGCGACGCAGCGCCCCCCCCGGCGCGGGCTCTTCCAGGGAAGGCGGCTCCGGGCACCAGGGAAGGTGAGTGCGGGCCTGACGGGCCGCGAGGAGGAGAAAGACGGGGGAGAAATGGCGGGGGGGACCCAGGGCCCGGCCCA